ACCCACTTGCTATTTGGAAGACACCCGGTTCAAGCTAGACGTCCCTACAAATATAAGAGTTTTCCACAAGACAGCCACAAGAGCGTCGCGCGAGAGTGTCCAGCAAAGCATCTCGCGAATGTGGCCGACCAGAGTGTTCACAAGAGTTCCGCGCAAACCGGCCCCACAAGAGAGGTTACCGCAAGAGCGCCCTGCCCCGCAAGAGTGCCCCACAAGATTGCGTGGCCAGAGTGTCCTACAAGAGTGTTGCAACAGAATGTCAAGCCACAGTGCCCTGTCTCACAAGAGTGTCCGGCAAGAGGGGCCCCTCAAGACTTCCAAGAAGAGTGCCCCACAAGAGTCCAGGTCCTACAATAGTGCTCGCGCAAAGGTGCTCTACAAGAGTGTCTTAGAAAAGTGTCACCCCAGGATGTCCCTTTGCATGCGTTGCACGAGCCGAGTTTTACTACTATAGGGGAAAGCGCCATTCTTCGCATCAGCTGCAGGACAGCGACCGCGAAGTGAAGCGAGCCGCTTTGCAGGCCGGCCTAGTAGAAAGCTTCGCAGCTGCGGTTTGTCAGTAGGGTTGAAGGAATGAATTGTTTACATCGGGGTTTATCTCTTGCACTATGTCTTGCTAAAAAACGAATTGCCATCTCCTTTTTTTGGGTTGCCAGGTCTTGTCTAGGCAGTGTCGTCCTGTGTTGCAAGGCATTGATGAAGCTTGGCTGTGGGCCACGGCCACCGCAAGAGTGTGGCTGGCCTGTTCCATGTTTGAAGAGGTCTCGTAAGATGGACCCCAAATTTCCCGAATGCGTAGTAAAGGGTTCTCGTCTATCTCGTGGGGTCTGTTGGTGGAAGTGCGTGTTTGCGCAATGTTGCCTTCGTGATTGCAACCGCCGGCTACCGCTTGAAAATAGTGTCCAAGCGTCGCACAAACATGCTATACAAGAGTGCCGCACCAGAGCGTGCACGACAGGAGTGTTTAGAGGAGTGTCCCGCAAGAGGGTCGCACAAGTGACCCACAAGAGTGTCATACAAGAAAAAAATATACCGGTAATTGCCGGGTCCATAACAGTTTAGCAAGGGTGCGGCAAACAAAAGCGTTACACACACGTGTCCTACAGCGTGTTCCACAAGCGCGCGCGAGAGCGGCCAACAAGATTGCGCCGCAAGAGGCCCCTCAAAGGTGCCCTCCAAGAGTCATGTCCTTGAAGAGCGCCGAGTAAGTACAGAAAGGATGGCTGTTGCAGAACCAAACTAACAGTGCTGGCCATGGCGCAAGGCCCATGAAAACTTTAGTCAACCGAGCTGGTAGCTTGATGCATTTTGTTTTGGCTGCTGCGGTCACGTGGATTTACGTCGGTTGCTAGCGAACGCTGCCATGGGTTAGATAAACATTTTGCGTGTTTGACTCAGAGGTGGTGAAGGCCAAGCTCAAATATTGGCAATCAAGTTTCTGCAGGGCCTAGAGAACCCAACTCATTTGCATGATCTTTGCCCTAGGAATCAGACAGATGTTCTCAAAACAAGTACAAGGATTGATTGAATGTTTTTTTCTTGTGTGGTACGGTTCCTTGCACGGTTCGGTTCCATGTTCATCACGTCAAATCCAAATTGCTAACTTCGCTTGGTTTGTCCAGCTTGGGCAACGGCGATGACATACCACCTCCTCCGAATAGAGGCGGCGGCCAGCTGGCTTTTGGGACGGGGTAATGGGAGTCTTCACGTTCATCAAACCCTTCTCAACCCCCATATAGGTTTGACCGTGAATACCCCTTTGGTTGTCTAGAGTCTAGAACATACATCATTTTCTGCAAACATATGGAACGAAGTGCTCATTGAGGGAAATGGCCTGCGACAAGCTTTGCATGTACGGAAGTGGGTGTCAAGCCCGCAAGTCTTGCCAAGTAGACGTTGTGATTTTTTAGGTGGAGGTGAGGAAAGCCAAGGTAGCGCTGTCAACTCCTCATTCAATTGTTTTCGTGAGCTGTTGCAGGTGGGAAGGGCAAAGGCAAGCGGAAGGATGGCAAGTGACTTGCGCTGAGATCGGCACATGCGCTGCAAAGAATGGAGGGGTCTCCCCGCAAGTGGAGGCCTTTGCAACAGAAATGCAAAAGATGCAAACAAAAAGTATACCGGCGCAAACAGTTTCAACATGACTTTGTTGCGTCAATTCCTTGGGTTCGAACCTTGGTGCGCGCTTCTGCAATTATATCCCTGTAGCTTCGAGCTGACTGCGGAACAGCGCGGAACTGTACGGCTGCAGCGTTTCAGCTCTCCCCGGTCGCTCCGCAGACTTCCACGGGCAAAGCAATGGATGTTTTTTCTGCTCAGGTGCTAGGGCTGCGTTTGGGGCTGCTTCCCGGGCAGTTTACCCATCCCGAAAACGGTGTTGAGCTGCCAAATGGAGAAACACATTGGAGTGAAACACACTTTTTTGGAGGTTTGGAACTGTTGAGTTTGGGATCCGTTTTGACACACTCACCTATGGCTCGTCAGCTTGGGGATTGAATGTGTCGGAACGAACAAAAACTCGTACAGTGTTTGGCCGTGTTTCTTGCCATAAAGGCTGGATTCGTTGGGGTCAGACCATGATCAGAAGCCAATGAAACTTGGAAAGCGAATCGTTTAGAGCATTTGATTCGGCTTTCGGCAAACTCACTTATGCCTTGTCGGCTTGTAACCCCGTCGGACAACCTCATCAAGTGGTGAGCTCTGTGTTTCTCTCCAAGGGTGATGGACAGGCGCTGGTGTCAAACAATATGACAATCTGAGCAAAACACCTGTCGTATCCTGTCGAAAAAATCATTCGATTCGGTTTTCGATCAAGTCATCTGTGCCGAACCCGCTCAGTTGAGTTCGTCAAGTGCTGGGCTGAGTTTTGTTTCTCGCAGAGGGTGATGGTTTCGCTGGCATAAGAAACCATGTCTCCAAAAATACTCCCATTTGAGCAGCGGCAGAGCTTCCCACGCAACAGTTTGAAGAGAGGTTCTATAAGATGCCTTCGTGAAAGGTAACCGCACAGTCGCGAAAGAGTCACGATCTATTTTGCGATCTTTTCATGCTCAAAGCCTTGCGATAGCTTTTAGGAAAGCGTGCAAATCAACAACTTGCGAAAGTGTTTTCGCACAGAACGCAGCACGCGAAAGCCAAACCGCCAACCGCGAAAGTGTTGCGAAAGGAACATGCGAAAGAAAAGCCCATTTGAACCATCTTAGGCTCTTAGGTTTTGAACAGCGCCTATTTGAACGAGGAACCTTGAAAACAACTCCCCAAGAGCATTTGATTCCGCTTTCGATATGCTCAGTTGTTTTTCTTGCCAAGGGTGCTGAATTCGCTGGTGTAAGATAATTTGTTTTTTTCGACCAACTCACCTATGCCCTGTCGGATTTGCTCCGACAAACTCCTCAAGTGCTGAAAAACAATTAAGACAAGCTGCCAAAACTCACTCGAAGGGTGTTTGGAATGCCAAAACTCTGCGAGTGTGATGGCTTCGCGAGGGTGAGAGCATGATAAGCAGCGGCTCCAAAGCTATTCCAAGTTTGGACCTTTCAAATTCCCTCATTCCTGCAGTCGGGCAGTTAGCTGAGGATTGGAAAGTTCTTTGTCTATTTTACCAAGAAAATGCTCTTAGACAATCCAAAAATCAAGGTTTCCAGTTAAACCCACAAGCTGGAAAGGTCTCGAAACTGTGTTTGTCAAAGAACACCATCTCAGTGCCCTTTTTGCCAGTGATGCCTGGTCAAGACAGCTCCCAGCTGGACCTATCGTTCTGTGAACTCAATGCCATTTGTCCTGAGGATGAACAATGCTTGAAGGCTCTCTATGAAGAATGCTACACTTATGAATAACCAAAACGGCACCGCTGCAATCTCTTTCATTTCTTTGCGTCCACCA